GGGGCGGTGGGCCCCCCCCCAGGGGCACTGGCCATAGGGAGGGCGCGCCGAGTTCGGGCAGGGGAGGCTGGGTGCGGGTTTCTTTTCACTGAGTAAAGTCCTTTGTTCCACTTCCCAGTGATGTGGAAGATCTTGCCCCTGCCGGCAGTGCTTTTCCCAGCCTCACGCCCAACCCAGCTGCCAGGCAACAAGCAGCATCAGGATCCTAGGGGGGGAAATCAAGACTTTGGTCTCCCCCTTTTTTCCCCTCAACAGAATTTTTTCCTGCGTGTTTGGTATTTTTGGGTACACTATCTGGCAACCCTACCTAGGCATGCCAGCGAGACTTCTCCACCTCCTTGTGTATCGCACACGTTGAGCTGTTCACACGAGGGCCCCTGGATTTGTCACCCCAGGCCTGGGACGATTTAACCCGTTACCCGGCAGAGGGGGGAGCAGCCCCCCCCACACCAGTCTGTGCGCTTGCACATTCTGATTTCACACGTGTGTGTGACAGGGGGCGGGCACAGGAGCGTCTCACCGCCCGGTCCTGCTGGGCCAGCTCACCTGCTCTCCCCCAGACCGAAGAGCAACGCAGACACCGAATCCCTGCCTGGCTGCAGTTTGGGGCCCGGCTCCCTGGGAAACCCGCTCCCCAAATGGGATCAGAGCCCCCCAGGACTCATCCCGACAGGCCCCCGTGGGCAGTGGAAGGAGGACGGGCCGGCCGACGGCTCCCCCAGGTAACGGTTCCTGACCCTGGGCTGGGTAGTCGGTAGGAGACGTGTCACGTTACCGCCAGGCAGTGCTGCGTAGGGACGGCTGGACAGGTCTGCTCCTTCCAATCCAACGGGAGGAGGCGTTGGAGTTGATCCCGGGCGGCCGCCAAGGTGGCGTCTGGGACGAGGAATCCGTCTGGGATCCCTCCGGCTGTGAGCGCCCGGCCACTGGCCCAAGGGGCCGTGAGGGGGCCGTTCCCCTCCGGCGTTCCCCGCCCTGGCGGCTTTCCACAGGCTGTCCCCCCCCCCCCCGGGCTGTGCGGCCTAGTGGCAG